TGGCCCACGGCGCCCCAGTAAAGGTTCCACGGCGCCCCAGTGCGCACACTTTGAGAAACACTGCATTAACTTAAAAAGTCCCCGTAGGTTGGGCTTCCTATCAGGCGCGTCCTCAGTTGACAGGTAGGGTAACAGGAATCCAATGTGGCCTAACGGATGCGGTCTCCGGACTCCTGGTCAGTGTCAGAAATAAGTAGGGTGAGGGGAACTAAAACTCCCCAAAAGCTTTGCGAAACATGCCACCGTGGATCAGCCTACCCTAGCAAAGGTGTAAGAAATAGTGCTGATAGCTGAATGGCCGCAGGGTGATATGCGGTTTCAAACAATCCCTTCGGGGAACTGGACGAAACCTCATTGTAATCAGTCTACCTCTGGTAATGCAGGGCTCTGTCAGAGGTGACCAACCCTTCTCTTGCTACACCCATGAATGGAACGAACACAAAAACAAAAATCAATCCCGAGGCTGTACAGAAGTGTTCACCTCAATCTAAGGCTGGGGATGCACAGAAATGCCCACCCCAATATATCGCTTGAAATCAGGCTGAACATAGATCATAGGCGCATTTGCGGCGCCGAGGTCAAAAGAAGGAAGAGAGCGAAATTGGAAGGAGTGGCAGCAACTATAAGTGCACCCCTTTCCTCCCCCACTGCACCTCCAACAGCAAGGGCACTTCCTGCGACGAGCGCCAAGTATAAATAAAGGCAAGGACCTGACGGCTGCCTCTGCAGGAAAGCGCCCTCACTTATGCACCTCCGCGAAGGGAACCCCAAGCAGGTTGAAAACGCCGCGCAATGACAGTAATTCCGCTGCACCTTCCAAAACCTTCGCGGAGGCCACCGTGAGACACCTCAAGGTTGCCAAAGAGAGTGTGTGGCGAGTCTTGGCCTACACCTGCCGATATAAAGGAGATGTCTCCTAGTGATCTGTCCACCTTCCTGGAAAGGACAGGATGGATGAAGATCCAGGAGGACAACTCCTCGGGAGGATGTACAATGGGTCACATGTGGCCTAACTGCTCTCATTTGCACTCATCCCCACTACTCTACAGTAGTGCTTCGTTAGACCATAGTCTCCTGATTTTAAGCTTCTTGATTTTTTTGAGGTGGCATTCAACATCAAGAGATTTTGTTACAAAAATATGTTGTTATGGATAGATACTTTTTTGTGTATNAGATCACATAATTTTTTTTATCAATCTCTGTGTAAATATAATTCAGAAGATGATAGGAAGCTGTTTCTATAGATTTATTTTTCCTGAAACCATGCTGAGACATACATAACAGCCTATTTGATTCCAAATGATCCATAACCCTACGTGCTACAACTTTTTCAAATAATTTAGATATCGAGCATAACAAAGATATTTGCCTATAGTTGTCCCTTTCTGTGGGGTTTCCTTTTTTATATACAGGTATAACGAGTGATTTTTTCAGAACTTCTGGAAAGTATCCTTGTATAAGTGATTGATTCATTAAGTATGTTAAAGGAACGACAATAGATGGTAATATTTTCTTAATTGTTATAATTGATAGTTCATCAAAGCCTGCCGTTTTTTTGTTTTTCATTTCTGATAGGATATTCGATATCTCATATTCCGTAACCGGATAAGATTGGAACGGTTCAATAATGGTAATATTTTCAGTAACAGTACAGGGTAGAGATAAGTTTTGCCCGAAATGATTTGATATGGAATTTTCAGCTGATTATGCAATGTTATTTAAAATTGACTTATATTCAATGTTTGGAAACAATAATGTGCACGACACGTGTTAGTAATCACACGTTAAAAGGTAAGACTTCGTTATTATTTAGTTCGCACTTTAGAGAGTTATCGTTTGTAGGGGGTGACAGCTAATTAACTGAAAAACAGATCACGATTGTTACTGAGATTTCAGAAGAATGAATATTACAAATTTAGAGGTGAAAGTACGAAAAGGAAAGAGGAAGGAATGCTGCCAAATATTTGAATTAGGTCAATTGTGACATTTAATAATTAAAACCGAGAGGAGGGTCTCGAGAATTCATATTTGATTCATCTGATTAACATGTGTTCAATACAGGAAGAACATTTTCTTGAGACCAGATTGGGTTTCGTCAATTATTTCCAGTCTACTCGTTTTCTGGATTGTCAATACTTTCGAGAACTTTTTAGAACATTTTTGTCCTATATTTGAAAACGAACCTCAGAAGATACCCATTTTCATTTACTTTGTTGATTTTCTCCAATATATTTCTTAACAGTAACTATAATACCCGGGTTAAAAAGTCCAGGGCCTAAGAAAGGAACTGCGTTTTTTTTTGTTCAAAATTGGCATCATTCATNTGTGCCATTTAGAAAATAGTAAGAACCTGATGAATAAAATAAAGATAAAGTTCGAAAATAAGTATGAAAGAAATGTAAAGTAATCATGAGTGGAGTTCATTGTTATATTTATCTGAAAGGTGTACACAATGAGGCGAATCGAAAAATAATAATCAATAGATAAGTTGGCATAAAAGTTGAAATCAGATTATATTTTATAATTTTTCTAACATTCTCCTCAAAATGCAACTGTGGCAATGATGTATGAATGATATCTCTAATAATGGGGGTTCATAATGTTTGCTGGACAATATTCTCCAGAGCTACGAGGTTATGATTCTGCATGTGTGTCGAAGAAAAAGGAACATATATGGAATGATTTATTTTTTCCGGACTTTGATAATTATTATTTGTTTCTATTATTAATTCATTAATTCATTTGTGCACTCAATACATATTGAATAATAATGTAAAAATGTATTGCAGTTTATGACGTAAATGAATGGGACTTCCTCTCCGATCGCGACAGAGGACGGTTGTGCCGATGAAGACCGTCTTCAAAGGTGACCCGTGGATGTCGTGGTAGAAATGGAGGCCAGTGAGATGTTTAAAAAAAAATCAATTACGAATCAATAGTGAAGTGAAAGGCATTTTGAGAGGCTCTACGCCAGTAACCAGGCTGCGACACACGTGTTTTGTAAAACCCTTTATAGTGAAAATCATACAATAAAGTTTTGGTTAGTTTTAATATGGATTTTAATCAAGTATCGGCCAGTTTTATTCAATTCAGGTAGGTAGACGGATTCGACGAGGTCGTCAGTGCAATAATATATATGTTATTTGTGAAGGAAGTCATATTGAGAGGACTGACGGTCCCCTTGTGAAAAAATGAAATGTTTTTATGAAAGAATAGGTGAATGAGAAAACTAAGGGTGGCAGCTGTAATATAACCAATATATGTATGTATATACGGTTTTATCTATTATTATCGAATATACCGACTGCTTTCAGTGTAATAAATGCTCATTTCCGATTAATTTATTTTCTGAAATTGATTTGGCAGCGGCTGTCACCAGATGCAGATTTCTCCACATCAAATTTTGAATATTAGGGCAGGTCCGAAAATGCTATAGGGTTCGTGCCGATCACACGAGGACCGGTCTTTTTGAATCCTAACTACACCGTGTACCTTTTTGAGACTGTTTTCCTTCCAAGATCCACTCTGGAACGAGGCAGGAGGCTTCCCTGAAATGGTGCGGGACTTGCTCAGATTAGGCTCAGGCTCAGCTTCAGATCAGGCTTATATTACAAAACCAATAAACCATAACAATGAACTGTATTAAAATATAACATGAAAGCCCAACAAATTAATAAGCAAAAATATTCGAAAAGTAAGATCAAAATTTAACAAGAAAGCGCGTCTCCAATAGCTGATTATTTGAAATTGCCTGGCTTCAAACCCGTGTGTACTAATTGCTGATATTCACACATATGAAAGGGGTGTATTGTGATTCATATTATCCCCAAGACGCAACAACAGTAAGACAATTATCACAAAATTAAAATGATATCATCTCTTTCTCTAAACCGACATGGGGGTTAGTAAAAATCCAAATTGATTCACGATACTATACTGGGTTCTGATCTCCCTCTCTGGTACGGTATCCGTATAAAATACAAATCCGTTCACCAAATCCGTCACCAAACTCACTGTCCTCAATTTACCGTAATTCCACTATCGCGAAATCCCTTTTCGCGAAACCCCTTTTCGGCAGAGCCGTACTCTTACCATATGACCTGAAAGACCACTCACTATACAAACTAATCGGCTTCATGAAGAAGCTGGGTTTATTTGGACAAGTGTAAATAGATGTGAGACATCTATTTACACTTGTCCACCGCAACCCGCAAGGGTTGCGGTGGAGGGTCGAATAGACCCACTCACTTTAGACCTAACCTAACCTTATTGTTTCAGTTTTCTTCACATTCAAGCATAACAAAAGCTACAAAAAAAATTTAGATTATTTTCAACGCATTTTCAGTTAGTTGCTTTGGATATTCATGTTCGTATTGAGGGGGTTCATATGGTGTGGAAGATTATCAACATATATTAGGAATAGTAGGGGTCTTAAGATCGACCCTTGAGGCACACCTGCTGTTACACTCACTGCTGGAGATCTCACACTACTTTGTTCAACAACCTGCTTTCGTTCGGATAGGTAAGAATCGATGGATTCAGCTATTTTCCCCCTAATTCAGTACGGAAGTTTATCGCGAGTGGAGTCGAGTGTGGCACACAGTCGAATGCCTTCGAGAGGTCATTGAATACGGCTGTGAGTGCTTCCCCCCTGTCGAAGGCATCCACCGTGGCACGCACCAGATCAGATATGAAATGAGATGTAGATAGATTTTCTCTGAACCCAAACTGGGACTCTGAACGCAAGTCGTTCGAATCCACAAATTATATCATCCTACTATTATTTGCAGCCTCAATGGCTTTTGATACTGGCTGAAGCATGTGATGCGTGTTTAGTATGTTAATGATATCGTAACGATTTTCGCGGAAAAAATTGTTTGCTGATGATAACTTGAAATCAAATTTCAAGTGTTTGAATTTTTTTATTGATTGATACTTATCAATCGACGCCATTTGAGAAATAGTAAGACGTTGATTATTGAAATAGAGATAATGTTTGAGAGCAGGTATAAAAAAACAAGATGAGACATTGGTAATGCAGTTCATTTTTGATAGTCTGAAATTGTGCACAATGAAACGTAAGTAAGACGAAAAAATAATAACCATACATAACTTTTGAGAAGACCATCATTGATTGCTTTTGCGGCAATTTTGCTTTTGAGGCAATTTTCATATGGATATAAAAATGATAATTCTGACAATGAAAGTTCATAATGATGTTTGCTGGGAATTACCTGATTTTTATAATATTTCATTGATTGTATCAACGGCCGTTCAACACTCGAAATCATTGAGGTTATGATTTTGCATGTGAATTGGAAGGAAATTGGAGTGATCACTGAAATTATTGACGATGTATCTTTGAAAAAAAATTCCAGAAGAAAACAAAATTTTCTTGAATTTCGTTTTCTTCTCTTCAATGTTGACAAATGAGTCACGAGAACAGTTCAATGTTTAAGTACAAGCAAGTCTCAACATTCTCTTGTTAGAGATGTTATATTGAAAATATGAATTCAAATTGAGATTTACTACTTTCATACTACCATTCTGTTCCTATTCATCAGGATTGCTACATTTGGGAGACATTGATATTGGTCTAGATTCAAAAATTTCTGAATCTCAATCCATGAAATATCTTGGAATAATGATAGATCGCCATTTTAGATGGGACCTTCGAATCAAGCATCTGTCCAATAAAATACGAGGAATACCAAAATTCAAATATTTGAAAGCATTTTTAGATCTGAAACACCTTGAAACAGTTTATTTCGCATTGGCACAATCACAATTTAACATTGTGTGAGAGACTGTTCCATAGACAAAATCAACGTATTACACAAAGGGATTTTGAAAATAATTTTTGAAAAAAATATCAGCTATTCTTCTGAAAGTCTGTATAAAGAAATTCAAATAATAGATGCCCGTCAACATTTCTTAAAACAAATTCTTGTATTTTTAAAAAAAGAAAAAATAATACT